TGTGTGTGTGTGTGTGTGTGTGTGTGTGTGTGTGTGTGTGTGTGTGTAATGTTTTTTTAATGGAGAACAGAGTCCAAAATTTCACAATCGTCAATCTAGGTTCATCATCTGCCAAACTGGGTGGGGAAAAAAAAAAACGAAAGAGAGAGAGATAGGAGGCCTGAAAGGGCGTGTACTCTAACTACAAATTGCTTTTGTGGACAGACAAATAAACCAACTTCCTCTTTGCTGCAGGGTGTGTGTGTGTCCAACGACTCAGTTCCTGGAAAGCCCCCCCCCCCAAAAAAAATTGTTCAACGCCCACTGAATTTGGGACTGGCCACAATTCAGGAAGGCTGGAATTACAAATCCCGGCGGTGCTTTCAGTTCCTAAAAATCATGAAATTCCTTGCTTTTTGCAGGGATACCTAAAGAAGCGTTTCCACACACACGACAGGAGGGAAATTCCTACATTTTCGTCCTCAATGTACGACCACAACTGAGCCCAAAATCGACGTTGCTAAGTGAGAAATCCGCCCAGTAAGTTTTGTCCCATTTTACGACTTGACTCACCGCATTTGTGTTCAGTAAACCACCGCGGTTCTTAAATGAGTCGCATGGTCGTCACGTGGATCTGGTTTCCCCGTTGAGTTTGCTTGTCAGAAAGGTCGCCAAAGGGGATCACGTGACCCCCCCCAGGACACTGCAACCATCATAAGTGTGAGACAACTGTCAAGTGTCCCAATGTAAATCACAGGACCAAGGAGGAGGATGCTGCTACGGTCATCAGGGTGAAAAATGGTCATAAGTAACTTTTTTTTTCCCAGTGCCGTTGTAACTTCAAACCATCACTAAGTGAAGTGTTGTAAGCCAAAGGGCCACCTATACTTTGGAGCGTCAGTTGCAATTTGAATACTCCAATAAAAAGGCAATTAACCCAAACGAGAATACACGATGCTGTTCTAGGACCAAGGAAAAATGTTTTGGTTTTTTCTGTAACCACCACTCAAACTGGTGGCGGTTTTATGGATTTTAGAATAGAATAACAGGGTTTGGAAGGGACCTTGGAGGTCTTCTAGTCCAACCTCTTGCTTAGGCAGGAAACCCTACACCACTTCAGACAACGGGTTATCCAACATCTTCTTAAAAACTTCCAG